TATAAGGGCCCCAGTCCTGTTGGAGCAGGAGCATCCCGATAGCCTCAGTTTGACTGGATGACCTTCTAACGCTCCTGTGTCTAAACACAGTCTCCTGAGCTAATGGGGCTCAAAACTTTACCCCATGAATTTTGGGGGAGCACAGTTCAACCAACAATCCTGGGGAAAGCACTGTCCTGATTACTCTGTCCTTACTTTCATTTTTCTGCTTTAAAATTTCCTGTGAATGGAATCAGATATTATGTGTGTGCTTTGATGCCCGTCTATTTCCATTGACCGTAACAGTGGAATCCATCATGCTGTGTATAGCACTAATAGGATCTTCTCTATACCTTGTATACTAATACGAACTTCTCTATGCTTCCATTAGTGAAAAGGATAAAGTGGTTGCTTTAGTATAAAGTATTAATGCCATAATAACATAAAATATGCATTGCTCTTTTTACCAAGCATTCCATAGTATGCCTATGCTATAAATTGGTTGGCCATTCTCCTTATAATGCACATTGCAACTATTCCTGTTTGGCGATAAAACTGACAATTGGAAACAACCAACATGTCTTCTAAAGGTAAACAGATGCATAAACTAAGGTACATCCAGGTGATGGGAAATTATTGAATCATCTATTATTTTATTGAATAAAACTGCCATGAATTCTTACACACAAAAGATATATCCCACAAAGGAATGCTATCAAAAATATATGAAGCATTTTAAAAACTCAACAAGAAGGAATAAAAGAGCAACCCGATTGAAAACCTGGTGAACTATCTGGATACTTCCCCAATAGAGATAAACAGAAGGCAAACACATGAAAAGATGCTCAATTCACACATCACAGGAGAATATCACACCCGGATCACTACCACCATCACACACCTGTCAGAACGGCTGGTGGCCAAAACACCGACAACACCGCAGGCTGGTGCTGGCGTGGAGCAACAGCAACCCTCAATCACCGTTGGGGCAAACGCCGAGTGGGGCAGCCACTGTGGAGGGAAGCTCGGCAGGCACCTACAGAGCTGAACGCCGGCCCCTTGCCCAACGGCCCAGCCCTTGAGCTCCTTGATATCCCCCACAATGTGCAGACACAAAGCCAGCCCACCATGTGATAGCTGCTGCTTAGATGCTGCGTGCCGACAGAGGGAACACCCCACATGGCCTTCCAGGGGAGTAGACGCGGGAATGACGGCACACCCAGAGGAGGGAGTGTTATTCGGAGATGAAATGAAAGGTGCTCTCATGTCACAACGTGGGAGGAAACGTGAAGGTGTAGTCCCAAGTGAACAAGACTGCAGCTCAGTGGTCTTCTGGGAAAGGCGGGAAAAGCATCACTGGTTGCCTGGGTCCGGGGAGGAAAGAGAGATTAGCAGAGGAACACAGAGTATTTTCAGGGTAGTGACACGGCTGTGGGTAACACTAAGAGTGGAATATGGTCATTATACATTTGCATCAGCCACAGCACGTGACACCCCCAAGAGTGCTCCATAATGCCAACCATGACTTTGTTGGATAGGGCCGTGTCAGCATTGGCTCACTGATGGTAACAGACGCCCCACGCTGGTGCATGATGCTGGTGGTGGTGGAGCGTGTGTACTGTGGGGACGAGCCACATGGGAACTCTGTGTCCTGTCAGCTCATCTGTACTTTGAAGCTCGCTGTGGTTTAAAGTAGAGAGCTTTTCTGGTGCCAGCAGAATGCCCGAGTGCTAAGGCATTCTACTGCCTGTGCCTGGACCTCACAGCAGGGCCTGAGCCACCAGGGCGCTCAGAGGCCAAGCTGCTCTGCCTCTGTGCTAGCTTGGATCCCAGAGCTGGGCTGTCTAACCAAAGGCCAGGAAGCACCCAAGGATGACGCCTCTGAACCCTGACTGAGGCCTGAGATCCACTGGCCAGGAGAGGAGCCAGACTGGGCGCAGGGAAGGAGGCTCCCAGGGACCCTCAGGGGCTGGGGTGGGCTGCTCTGGCTTTGTACTGGGTTCCCCTAAAAGGCCAAAACGCCGGACGCTGGTGGTCTCGCAGTTGTGGGTTCAGAGGCTGAACACTCTTGGGTGGTTCCATCTGAGGGCTGTGAGGGAGGACCTGCAACTGGTCTCTCCATACCTTCTACGGGGTTGATTGGCACTTCCACATGTTCCCTGGCTTGCGGGAGCATGTCCTGATCTCTGCCTTGCCCTGTCCTCCCTGTGTGAGTGACTGTGCCCCATGTTCTCCTTTTGCTGAGGACCCAGTGGTGCTAGACAGGAGTCCACCCCCATGGCCGTATCTTTCTGACATGTGCAATGATGCATCTCCAGAGAAGGTTCTGGAATTCTGAGGTCCTGGGCGTGAGCACTGCAACACTGGAAGTGCAGGCCGGGAAGGGAACACAGTTCAGCCCCTGACACGGGTCTAGCGCTGGAAGTAACTTGCATTCTCAAGAGGAAAGGTGCCTGGATGGCTCCTAGGATAGACTGGGCACTGTTGCAATAACGCCAACCTCCACCATCAGAGGTTTAGCACAACAGAAGTTATTGTCATGCACAAGGCCCCCTGGGGCTCACCCAGTCCCCGACAGCAGTCCTCCAGGGTGACTCGGTGACCAGGGGGCTTCCATCTGCAGGTTCCCCCCTGAGGGGCAGGGACAGGCTGGGGTTGCCCCTTGACTGCCCAGGTTGCAGCCTGGAAGTGACCTTGGCACTGAACTGACACTGAGCCATCTGAGCAGTGAGGGGCCACCGTACGAGGAGCTGCAGAGTGCAGGGCACGGGAGGAATGGTCCTGAGCACCTCCGGCACGCGGGCTGTCTCTGGGCTGCCATCGGTGAGTGTTTACCTGACACTGTGGACGCGTCAGGCAGGAAGTTAGAAATGAGCCTACGTGTGTGAGAAGGACCTAAGGAAACTGACACCTACACAGTCCAGCACCTGCCCAGACCCTGACCACCTTCCAGGCGGCCCCGCCCCTTCTACCTGGCCTGATGGACACCCTTCCTCTAAGGCGGGCACCCTAGAGAGAAGTCCCTTGGCCACGCAAGCAAGACTTCCCCTGTCTGACAACCTCAGTGGTAATGTTGGGTAGGAAGTCAGAAATGAGCTTGTGTGTGGGTGACAAAGGCCTAAAGAATTGACAGCTACAGTGGCCCAGCATTGGCATCTCAAAGTCATCCTGATAACCTTCCAGGTGCAGCCCAGTGTCTGCTCTTCAAACGCCCTGCCCCTTCTACCTGGCCTGATAACCATCCTTCCTCTAAGGCAGGGCGACACCAGCCAGGCTTCCCCTGTCTGATAACTTCAATGGGAAAAACTCAGAAAGGAATTTTTTGTATTTACACCCAACAAGTCCTTTGTTCTGGAGGAGAAGAAGGAGAGGGGGAGAGGAAAGGTGGGAAGGCAAGACCCATCCTCTCAGAGACCCCAGCCGGAGTGTAAGCTAGGTGCTCTCTCGCAGGTCCTGGAGAGGTGCCCATCCGTTCTGACGGATGTCCCTACTCTAATAAACCTTGCTGCTTTGTTTTCCACTGCTCTCTGTCTCCTGCCTGAATCCTTTCTTGCACTAAGTCCCTGAAGGCAGAGGCAAAAGGGAACAATCGATCCAGGAGCCCTGATGGGCCAGGGCCGAACAGCTAGAAAGGGGATGGCCTGCAGGCAGCTGTTCACTGGGAATGTCCAGGACAGACTCTGATTTCCCGGCTTGGAAAGCTGCTGGGATGGGATGGGGTGGGTGGGGGAGAGGGTGGAGGCACGGGGAAGGGGACTCCACTTCCTTAATCCCTTTCCCGGCTGGACTGTGGGGGCCCCAAGGACAGGCCCGGGAATGGTTCTCATCCTCCCAGATGGCACTTAGGACACCCCTCCCCTTGTCTGTGCAGCTGAGCCTGCAACTGTTCCTTGGGAAGTCAGAAATGAGCTTGTGTGTGTGTGTGTGTGTGACAAAGGCCTAAGGAGTTGACATCTAGGTCCAGCATCCGCATCTCAAAGTCACCCCAGAACCTCCCAGGTGCATCCCAGGATCTGCACTTCAAACGCCCTGCCCCTTCTACCCGATAACCATCCTTCCTCTAAGGCTCCTCTCAGGCTTCCCCCTGTCTGATAACTTGGGGGGGGGGGGCTCAGAAAAGAAGTTTTCATATTTACATCCAAAAAGTCCTTTGTTCCAGGAGGAGAAGAGGCCCTTAAAACCCCTGGCCTCAACCGGACTTTGTGCTCAGCCCTCTGCCTCGCTGCTGAGCCGCCCGCCTGGCCTGCTCAGGTGTAATCTCTCCACTCAACCATGTAACCTCGCTCTCCCCCAGTCTGAGCGACTGGGCACTCTCTCTCAGGTTCTGTCTGGAGAGGTGCCCATCCGTTCTTACGGATGTCCCTTCCCTAATAAACCTTGCTATGTTGCTTTCCACTTACTCTCTGCCTCACGCCTGAATTCTTTCTTGCCCGAAGACAAGAACCCCTGCCTTCTCCGTTAACACAACGAGTGCACAGCCGGCCACAAGTGGACCTTGTCACCTTGGGTAGGACAGCAGGGAGGGGACTGCCCGGCAGTCACACCTCTGAGAATTTACTCAGCAAATTCAAAGTCCACGTTCGGTTTTTTGTCTCTCATGGAAGAATATCCAAGTGGACAAGGCAGAGAGAAAAGTAAGACGTATTTAAAAGCAACATTTTTAGAGTCAGAGACCTCCTGGGGGCTCCAAGGGAGGCAAGACCCCAAGGGGCTGGTGCTGCTTGGGTTTTTAAGCACAATTTTGGGGGGAAAAGCTGTCAGTTAGTACAAGATGGGACAAAGCCATCAAAAGACCTGATCTGTTATCTTATTTACCCGGTCTGTCCTGCTCAAGGTAAATCAGAAGGCTGGAGTTCACTGGAGCTCAGAAGGGGGGAATGACCACTCCCTTGCTATTCTCATGATAAACTTGGGAATTCCTACGGAGTGGGGCAGGTGCTTTTGACCTTGCTAAAGGTAACTTTTGGGGAAACAAGCATTTTGACCCTCATTTTCCACCAGGACCAACCTGACTGCCTATCAACCCGTCTGACCACATAATTGATTCTGGTATCAGCTCAGGGCACATAAATTCTAGTTCTCCACTCCTTCCCGTCACTTGATGCAATCACACGGGGCCAGGGCAGCCAAATCTTGGACTCCATCAGTTGATCCCACACAGCCCCATCCACTGCCTCACCAGCCCCCAGCACCCTGAAGGGAGCAGCTATTTAAGGGGAGCTGGAGTTCAGAACTAACCACAGAGTCTCTTGGAAGCATCAACTCCAGCATCGTCTGAGAGGTAAAAACCCAAAAGCAAATGCCTGTCAAGGGCATAAGGATCTGCGTATTGGCTGACTCCAAGAGCGACTGTGTTGTGTGTGTGTGTGTGTGTGCGTGTGTGTAGGCAGGTGTGTGTACATCTGTGCACAGTTTACTGTGTACAAGAGGCTGCCCGTGTGCAAGTGTGCTGGGTGAGTCTGTGAGGATCTCAGGCATGAGTTCAAGTGTGTATGAATGTGGCAGTGTATGCACACATGTGTACGGGACTGGAGCGTCTTGCAAAGAGAAGGTTCTGCTTCAGTTCTGGAGATAAATTTGGGAGGATCAGATTTCATGAAGAATTCCCAAGCCTTTAATCCAGTATGGGGACAGGCAAGAAATGCCTAAGGGGAGATACAAGCTTTTAAAAACAAACAAACAAAAGATTATTTACAGAGCCGGTGCTGTGGCATGGAGTTAAGCCCCTAGGCCTGCAATGCCAGTATCCCATATGGGCATTTGTTCAAGTCCAGACTGCTCCACTTCTGATCCAGCTCCCTGCTAACAAGGCTAGGAAAGCAGCAGAGGATGGCCTGATCTTTTTTTTAAAGCTGTATTGAATAGGGCCAGTCATGTGGCGCAGTGGGTTAACGCCCTGGCCTGAAGCACTGGCATCCCATATGGGAGCCAGTTCGAGCCCCAGCTGCTCCACTTCCAATCCAGCTCTCTGCTTCGGCCTGGGAAAGCAGTAGAAGATGGCCCGAGTCCTTGGGCCCCTGCACCAGCATGGGAGACCCAGAGGAAGCTCCTGGCTCCTGGCTTTGTATCAGCACAGCTCCAGCCATTGCAGCCAATAGGGGAGTGAACCAGCAGAGGAAAGACGTTTCTTTCTCTCTCTCTCTCAAGACCTTTCTCTCTCTCTATCTCTCTATCTCTTTCTCTCTTTCTCTCTCTCTCCCTGCCTCTCCTCTCTCTGTGAACTCTGACTTGCAAATAAATTAATATATCTTTAAAAAAAGATTTATTGATTTATTTTGAAAGTCAGAGTTAGAGAGCAAGAGTGACAGAGATCTGCCATCCCCTGGTTCACTCCCCAGATGGCTGCAACAGCCAGTGCTGGGTCAGGCCAAGGCCAGGAGCTCCATTTGGGTCTCCCACATGGATGACAGGGGCCCAAGTACTTGGGCCATCTTCCGCTGTTTTCCCAGGCCACTAGCAAGGAGCTGGACTGGAAGTGGAGCAGCCAGGACTCCAACCATTGCCAGTATGGGATGCCGGCATCTCCAGTGGCGTTGTAACACGCTACATTCCAACCCAAGCCATGGGAGACACAAACTGACTTCATAAGCCTCCCAGTTACTTGGGATAAACCTGGACACATCCATCCAGTAGCTGGCAGCCTCATGAGCAAATCACATGAGGACTCCATGGGTGTGAGGGTCCCAAGAAAGGGAAACCGTTCCACAGAGCTGGAAAAGGTCAGGAGGCGCTCTGTGTGTGTGTGTGTGTGTGTGTACATGCGTGTGCAGCATTGAAGGGTATCCCATGCATCCACTGTGAGGACAGAGGTGGTCACCTTGGACATAGCCTCGGGGGAGGAGCATGTGGGAGCCCTGGGCTTGCCAAGTTAGGCGGGAGAGCTGGGGCCAGGGCAAGGGCTGGGACCACCTGGGAGAGGGGTCCTGGCCAATCGCCTGCTCTTTCCCCTACAGAGCTCTCAACATGAAGGCCCTGTTGCTGTTGACAGCGATCATGGTCATTGGTAAGAGCTGACCTTGGTACTTGAACAGGGGACAGCCTAAAGAGGGCTACATCCTTGGCCCTGGGTTTTCCCGCCCATCACAAGAGTTCTCCCCAGATGGGAGGAGAGAAGATGACTGGGGCAGAGAGAGTATCAGAGATGAGGGAGACAGGGAGCGCCTGGGGCCACACCCCATCACTGGGCCCTGTTCCCCCAGGTTTGCTGCAGGCACACTGCGATTTGATAGACTTCTCAGACATGATCAAGTACACAACGGGGAAGAACGCTCTTCTTAATTACGGTGCCTACGGCTGTCACTGTGGTCTGGGTGGCAAAGGAGAACCCAAGGATGCAACAGATCGGTGAGGCCACCCCAGCCCTCCCTTCCCCCTGCTCCTTTCTGGGCCCAGCAGAGGCCTCACGAACTCAGAGGTCCCAGCACATCCCTGCTGGAAAAGCCGCCAGCACAGGCTCCAGATGATGCCAGACTCACTGGGTCTCTGCACAGGGTCAAAGGGGTGACACAGGGGGCCCAGGGACCCTGGAGCTGTGGGGAGGCACTCACAGGATGTCCTCCTGCTCAGGTGCTGTCTTGCCCATGACTGCTGCTACCGCCGTCTGGAGAAACGTAAATGTGGCACCAAGTTCCTGAGCTACAAATTCAGCATGAGCCGTGGCAAAATCACCTGTGGTGAGTGAGAGCCCCACGACCCCATCGAGTTCCCCCATTCATCCCCTGAGCGCCCACTGGGGGACCACAGCGAGAGAAGCAAAGGGACACTGTCCCTGCCTCTAGAAGCTCAGGTCTGGGTGGGAGTAAGGACAGCGAGGACAGAGGTGGCCAACACTCCAGAAGCAAGGATGCCAAGGATGGACCCAACCGCAGCAGGTGCTCCAGGTCACCCAGAGAGGGGGGCCACCTCGGCTGGGCTGCACCAGCTGTGCAGAGAGCCAGGGAGGGGCACTGCGGGCATGGCAAGGAGAGATCACAACGTGGACAAGAGGACCAGAGGGGGACCAGATGCCATCCTGTGCTGCCCAGGGAGACTCAGCAGGAGGGGGAGTGGGGAGCAGTGACGCTGGGGAGGGAGGAAGGGGCTGAGGCAAGCCAGGCCCCGAGCCCAGGAGGCATCTGGAGTTTGTCCCAGAGCAGCAGGGAGCAGATGCACACAGGAGTGAGGGTCACCTGCACTTCAGGACTGGCCCTGCCTGCAGGGTGGACATGACAGGAAGGGCAGTAGTGAGGGGGCGGGGCATAGAGCAGACAACCGCTGAGAGCAGGTGGGGGTCTGGAGGGAGGAAGGGGTGGAGAATGAAACCAAGATGCACTTGAGGCAGCGCCAGCCCAGAGTGGTGATGGCCTGGGTAGGGGTGGGGTAGGGAGCGCCTGGTCTGTGACTGTGGGGGCACCACGGAGATGAGGGTGGCAGGAGCCAGGGTGGAGTGTGGGGAGGGGCACAGTGCACAGGGGCAGGTGGAGGGGGACTTGCAGCTGGGAGGGGGGCGCGCTGGCCTGGGCCACACTCAGAGGCAGCAGCAGGGAGCTGCAGGGGGTCTGGCGCTCCCCCACTGGGTGGTTCAAGGCCCAGGAAGGAGACAGAGGGGGATGGGCACCCAGAGATGAGGCCAGGTGGGTGAGCAGGTCCGGGTGTCAGTGAGGAGATGACTGATAACACCCACTGGAGAGGGGGGCGGCCATGACGGGGCCAGCAGCGCTGCTCGGACCAAGAGGCAGGCAGGCCCCCGGGGGCACAGGGCGCTCTCCAGGCAGGGTGACGACCAAGGCAGAGGAGAGCCGGCCGCACAGTGGGAGAACGCGAGGACGGGACCGGCAGTGGAGACCCTGAGTGGAGAGCCTGGCGCTGCAGGGAGCAGAGAGCTGGCGCTGCAGGGAGGGTGCTGAGGTCCCGCACAGGGGATCCAGGCTGGGCAGGAGGGCGTGGCCTGCACCCACACCCCGAGTCCTGGAGGGTCAGGAGCTCTCTCTCCACCATGGCCTCTCCCTGCGGGCAGGTCCCAAGCAGCAGGTGCCAACTGACAGTGGCTGGGAATGCGGCCTGGCCGACTGCCGTGTAAGGATTCTGGGGGAGGCAGGGCCGGGCCTGGGGCAGCTTCTCAGCCTCAGCATCTGGGACCCAGGCTTCCCCAGCCCTGGGCTCTGCTGTCCTGGCAGCATCCACGCAGGGCCGCGCAGGCAGCGGCTGCGGCTCCAGCACAGCAGCCCCACCCTCTCGGGCGGCTTTCCCACTGCGCAGCTCTGTGTGTGGAGGCAGGAAGTGACTCCCTCCCAGAAGTCCTCACTGGAGTTCCCTCAGTGGCTCATTGGTCAGCTCCAGTGCCCGGCTGCCGTGCGCCCCCATCGCACGAGGAGCGCACTCTCCAAGGGCAGCCATCCAGTCTCCTGTCAGCCAGAAACACCCGTTCAGCCCACCTGGAGAGGAGGGACTGGGTGACGCTGGGAGCTTTGGGAGGATGTGGCGGGGTCTTCTCCCCCGGTTCCTACAGGAGGCCACAGAAGACCAACCATCCCCCATCTGGGGTTTGTTTTCTTGTGATTTCAGCAAATGAGGACTACTGCCAGAGAGGAGTGTGTCAGTGCGATAAGATCGCAGCCTATTGCTTTGCTAGAAACCAGAAAACCTACAGCGTCAGGTACCGGCACTATCCCAACCTCTTGTGCAAGGGAAGCAAGCCCAGCTGCTGAGCCGACCACCTCCTAGTCCGTCTTTCCCGGAGCTAGCCGTCTCCCACCCCGGAGGCAAGGCGGGGGCCGTCCCCTCCCCAGCGCCTCAAGCCGGTGGGCACTCCCAGTGTTCTCTTGTGAATAAAACGTGTCATCAGCAAGCAGTGTGTGTGTGTATGTGTGTGTGTGTGTCCCAAGCACTGCTCTTGGGAGAATAAGACAACACGGTGCAGAGGTTCACATACAGGCCCTGGTGTCCGATGGCCGGGCCCAATCCCACCTAAGCCTTGGCTCGAGACCACATTGGTGCCACCCACGTGGGCTTGGGAATTGCGAGGGGCTGTGAATGCAAAGCACTGGCTTCTGGCCGTGTCCAGGATGCTCTCGCCATGGGTGACTCCGCCATTGCTGTGGCCTGAGTACTGGCTGCCCGTCCTCACGCCGTCCGCATGCCTCTTCCTCCGGGGCTCTTCTGCTCCTCTGTGGGGAAGAGTGGCTGCCGCCAGCCAAATCCTGCGTGTCACCCACTTACCCCTGGCTAGCTTCCTGGGCATTCGACCCATGCAGTCCCGCAGCGTGTGCACTGGTTCAATTTGTGGCTGTGGCTGCCTTGTAATTCTTACTAGTCTGTCTGGATTGATATATTTTGGTGAAGGTTGACCCAAGCAACCCTGTCTTGGTGTTGGCAGCTTTCCCATCCCCTTCATCACCCGCAGGAGGTGACATTCTACAGTCCTCTTCCCAGGAGGGCCAGCTTCTAATTCTGTCCGAAGACGCTTCCTTGGCTGGGAGCAACCCTGGCCATGTTCACTCTCACTCAAAGCCAGAGAGGTGCAAATTAAAACTCCGTGGAGACGATATTTGTACACATGAGAATGGTTAAAAGCCCCTGCCCTATTGGCCAGGTATGTAAGGAAACCGTCACAGTCATAGGTTAACTAGGGGGAGGGCAGAATGTCTACAGGAGGCAAACTGGCATGAGCCATCGCAGGAGAAAGGCATCGTTCCTTCAGCTCCATGATGCCACCTCTTGGAAACTTGCGCTGTGGTCCGCACAGGTGCACACGCATACACACACACACAGTGATGTGTGAGCGGGCTGGTTCTTCCCAGCAGTTTTCTCAATTGAGTTAGAAAAAATCCAAGTTTCTGCGTAGAGAAGACAAAGGAGTATATACGTCTGTGCAATGGAGGGAGCTTCCTTGTTCCAGTAGGAAGATCCCGCAGGGGTGGGTGTTGATGCCAGCATTAAGACACTGCTTTGGGATGGCCACATCCTGTACTGGAGTACCAGGGTCCAAGTCCCAGCTCTGCTTCCAACTCCAGCTCCTTGCTGATGTGCATGTGGGAGGCAGCAGGGGATGGCTCGGGTCCCTGCCACCCACGTGAGGGACCAGGATCATGCTCCTGGCTCCTGGCTTTGGTTTGGCCCAGCCCTGGCTGTTGTGGGCATTTGGGGAATAGAGGTTCTCTCTCCAGTTGTCTCTGTCTCTATGTCTCTGCCTTTCTCAAAAGATGTATATGCCATAATGAAGATTTAAATTGCCTATAGAGAGAGAGAGAGCAGAGAGAGAGAGGATTTCCAAGCATGTAGTTGCAAGTGAAGTAACAATGCACTACATTTATGAGCAAGGAGTGGGAACACCAGTATACACGGGCTCATATCTCCATCAACGCTGAAAGAACACACAAGAAAAATTTCACAAAAATGGTTACTGTGGGGAGTGGGGCTGGCAGGGAAATGGGGAGGGTACAGATGCCACGAGGGGGAGATTTTTCGATATATAACTTTTTATGTTGTTTTGATTTTTTAACCCCACGAATATATTTCCCATTCAAAATAAAATTAGCATTGTCAAACACGCACAAACATTCCTCTCGCCAAGTCTCGGAGACACTGAGGGGGCTGGCACCCTGGGACCCTAGGGCCAAACCTCTCCCTTGGCCGTTTTCATGAGGCCTGTGAGCTAAGGTTTCTATGGTTTTTTTATTTTTCTTTCCGCTGGTTGGAAAAAAATATCAAAAGAAAAAGAATATTTTATGACTCCTTAAAATGATACAAAAATCCAAATTGTATGCAATAAGTGAAATTTTACAATAAAGCAGTGGTGCTCTTCGGCATGCATGGTATGTCTGGGTATGTCCATGCTGCAGCTGCAGGACCAAGCCGGCAGCAAGCCACGGCCACGCTCTGGGCAGCCCTGGTGGAGGAGGCAGAAGTGCCGGCCACGGCCTCACAGTCAGCAGTGTGCTGTCCTGCTGGGCCTTCAAGGTAAGCGCCGTGGACTACGGGGTGGGCAGAGGCGATGTCTTCCCTGCACCCTCCCTGGACCTGCTGGGACCAGGATGGGACCGCACTGCCCCTCAGTGTTTGCTTTCTCAGCTCAAAGCACCTTTCAAAGGAGGGAAAGGCTCCTTGAGATAAAGGCTCAGTTCAGTGTTTGCCCTGCCCTGATCCGGGAAGGGGAAGGGAGCGGCAGCTTCAGGGCTGTGTTACTGTTACTGTTACTGTTAGCGTTACTGTGTTACCTGGCACTGTTTCACTCTCGTTCAAGGACATACTCCCAGCAAGGCTTTCGTGCAACATCCTGGAGGTCTCATTTCCAAGAGCGCCTCTTCTACAACTTCATGTTAAATAACAAGTTGGGAGGCTATAATACTCTAGGTTTCTTTATTTTTATTTGAAAGGCAGAGAGACACACACAGAGAGATTCTCTACAGTGGTCCATTGCCCTAAAGGCCCACAACAGCCTGGGCTGGGCCAGACTGACACCAGGAGTTGCTAGCACCATCTGGGTCTCCCACACGATGGACAGGGACCCAAGTACTTGAGCCATCACCTTGTGCTCCCCAGGGTGAGCATTAGCAGGAAGCTGGATTGGAGGTATTCCAACATAGGATTCTGGCATCCCAAGCAGCGTCTTAACAGCTGAACCAAAAACCCACCCCCTCTGTTTCTTCTTGAGTCTGACAATAAGTCTGAATCCTCACCCGGGGTTGGTTATCCGGCCTCTCCGTCCGGAGGCCGCCAGAGTCTCTCTCTGAGTCTTTTGGTGTTGTTAGCTTTCACACCCCGTGTCTAGTTGACCGCTTTTCTTTATGCGCCCTATTGGCACTCTTTCTCTCATTTTAGGAATTTTAGCTTTGTCCTCCCTCCATTTTTCCTCTTTCTGAGACTTCTGTCATCCAGATGTTGATGCACCTGTGCTCCGTATTTCATGGATTTTCTTTCTTTTTCTCTATTTTCCTTTTACGCTTTCCCCTAGGAAGATTTCTCAATCTAATCTTCACCGAAGCACCCGTTCCAAGGATTATAGTCTTCATGAGCACTCACACCCGAGCTTCCTGTTTCCCAGTGGCTTCGTCTTGCCTTCTATGCCTGGCACCTTCCATGGTCTGCGTAAGAATGTCTCGCACGCTTACTGCACACGCTGGCCCACCCACTCTTCCAGACAGCAGACACGAGTTTTCCTTGTTGCTGCTGGGAGTATCTGAGTCCCTCAGGGGAATCTAAGGAGAGGGGTGGGATGAGTTCTAGGCGTGGAGCTTCTCATTTGCTGCCACCCCAGACAGGGGCTCTGCTCAAAGTAGTGGTCCTGGCAGGAGGCAGCATTTGCAGTGTCAGTGGCCGTCTCTGGGACAGAGGGACGGGAAGAGGAGAGGATGGGGTAGCCAAGAGTGAGAGGGAATGAGAGGTAGCTGAACAGCCTACATCGGTTTCCAACTGTTCCTCTCCCAAGCAGGGCTCTTTTTGTTGTTGTTGTTGTTGTTTTTTTATTTGAAAGGCAGAAATACAGAGAGAGAAGGAGAGAGAGACAGAGAGAGAGAGAGGTCTTCCAACCACTGGTTCACTCCCCAAATGGCTGCAATGGCTGGAGCTGGACCAATTCGAAGCCAGGAGCCAGGAGCTTCTTCCAGGTCTCCCATGCAGGTGCAGGGGCCCAAGGACTTGGGCCATCTTCCACTGCTTTCCCAGGCCACAGCAGAGAGCTGGATCAGAAGTGGAGCATCCGGAGCCGGCGCCGTGGCTCAATAGGCTAATCCTCCGCCTTGCGGCGCCGGCACACCAGGTTCTAGTCCCGGTCGGGGCGCCGGATTCTGTCCCAGTTGCCCCTCTTCCAGGCCAGCTCTCTGCTATGGCCCGGGAGTGCAGTGGAGGATGGCCCAGGTGCTTGGGCCCTGCACCCCATGGGAGACCAGGAAAAAACACCTGGATCCTGGCTCCTGCCATCGGATCAGCGCGGTGCGCCGGCTGCAGCGGCGGCCATTGGAGGGTGATCCAACGGCAAAGGAAGACCTTTCTCTCTCTGTCTCTCTCTCTCACTGTCCACTCTGCCTGTCAAAAAAAAAAAATTAAAAGAAGTGGAGCATCCGGGACTGGATGCGGCACCCATCTGGGAAGCCACTGTCTTAGGCAGCAACTTTACCTGCTACACCACAGCGCCGGCCCCTGGTTTTTTAGTTTGCATGCGTCATTCACAGGTTACAGGTGCTCATTAAGTGCTTCTCTAAGTTTTCTTCATTTCTGCCAGAAACCATGTGGCATGCAGCAGGTGGATACGACTTCTCTGAGAGCACACACCAGAGAGGCGACAGCTGTGACACTCAGGAGAACAACACCAAGAGCCGGGCGTATGTCCTTAGCCAGGATCCCCTTGAACCAAACCAACCAAAACCAAATAGATCAAGGAATGTTCATTAATTTGTGCAACTGAGTTTATCCATGTACAAGAAGCGTTGGCAACTTCCCCCCGAGTCAGCCAGTAGGCAGCAGTTCTGTTAAGTAGTATCCCATAACCCGTTACAGGAAAACAGGGAGTCAGAGCAGGTGGGTCTAGAAGTCTGACTCTATGGGAGAGACCCCTGGTGCAAGGTGAATCTTTGTATATATTATATATCGTATCAGAGAGGTTGCCAAAGTCGCCCACAGAGTGGAAGAAAGGGCCCCACGGGCAGCGGGAAGATCTTGATCTGACACGACAGGTGCAGCACTCTGCCAAGTCACCCCAGGGGCTACTCTTGTAATCTTCTAATTACACCCTTCTCCTGCCAAGCGAGCGTGGCTGGCATGAGCAAGGGGGAAATTAAGAGAAGCAAAAACAAAAAAACTAAGAGGGACAGAAGAGTTATTATCATGGAAATCCTGTTCTAACGTCTTAGGGAC